TATCCATCTTGCTTATCATTTAATTGGCTATGTGTGCTATCGGAGGACTTTGTCTGGGTTAATGAATATAGTGTGTTGCCATTACAATCCTTTCTCTTATTTGCGTAACGAGCTTTTTTCGAGATATTTGAAATATGTAATTGGATTTGTGCTGGGCTCTCAGAAACGGAATTATTCTCGCCCACACTAATAGTGTTCAATTTCGCATCATTTAAACATTGCTCTTGGGTTGCAATTTGCGATGTGATCTCATTTGGCTTTACAAGCTGAGTAGGAGCATCAAGGCCGGGATTATGACCATCATTACTCAAAACTATAGAAATTTCTCTCTCAGAACTTTTATTCGACTGCATTGAGGCGTTTAAATTTGCATTTTCCTCTTGACTGGATTCTACATTAGCTACCATAGAATTACCGCTTTCGTTTTCCTCATTACCGGCATCATAATTTGACGCATTACCAGATTGATAATTATACTCCTGTGAAGAACATGCTTGAGAGGATAATTCATTAATTACTGCATCATGATTAGTAATTTCTATAGAAGTCTTTTGCTGCTCCTTTTGCATAATGAACAATTGATCACGAAAGTGATTAATCTCTTTATTTATTTTACCAATCTCGTTTTGATTTGCCGAAATGCTGTTCGAAAATCTAGATTCGATTATTACAACATCTAACTTAACGCCCTCAAGGTCAGCAGAAAGATCGCAATACCCAGAGTTAGTGTCTTTTTTGTTTATCAAACTTTGCCCTGAGTTTGGAAGTGGGTCAGTAGTTACCGATTTATTCAGTAGGTTGTAAATTTTATGCGTTAGATCGAATAAGCAATTCAGTCTCTCAGCAAATTCAGACATTTCTGCCCTCAAATTTTCGCAGTTTTTACATTGAGGGCTTTCGTGAATAGTCTGAGAAGCACAGTCTTTAACAGCTGTTTTTAGTAGTTCGGGAGCGCTCGCATTATTGTTGGTACCTTGCGGCTCCGCCGTGTTCACTGATAAACTGTCTAACATAGCATCTGTTTGTCTTACTATATGATCTGTATCTAAAACTGTTACCAGAATTTGTTTGAATAGCTCACCATCCTTTCCATGAAGCAATATCGAGTCCTGCTTTCCCGGGTACCAGGTCAAAGTAAAATCAAACGTTGAACTTTTAAACTGCTTAGCATTTCCACCAGGTGATTTCCAAGTGCCGGTCAAACCAATAACATTTTCGACATAATTCTTTAATGAATTAAGGTCACCGGTCCACTTTATACGATTACCAGTATAAGTTAAGTTAGCTTCATCATTTAATAGCTTTATTGCATTCATATCGACGTTCTCTGGTCTGAAATTTGTATTATTGAACGAGTTAAAAAATCCATGACCTTCCGCCATTTTATATTTATTAGCCATTATTATGTGGCTCCTTAAGCACATTTTCTGATTTTCATATATTTGTATAACACCTGCGTCACGGAGGGCGGCGATGAAAGTCGGGTTGGTATTGGTTTAGGGTTGTCATGTGGGTGGCGTCATCTGGAGCAGGCAGGAGAACATGTAAATGTCAATGATGAGGCATGGAGGGCGCATGCAACTACTGTAGGGTGCTGAACCAAGGGATGCTTGAAGAAGGTGACGTAGTCACCTGATCGGGGCTTAACTGATTGTTAGCAAATTACGAGTCTACGTCTTTAATGCTGCATCTGCGTCTTCAATGATGCACGCAATTACACTGACGATGCAGGGTACTGAGTTCCTTAACCCAGAGCAAACTGGCTTTCTTGGTGCAGTTCAACCATTGTATGCTCTCATCAAACTGATTCAATGGCAATACCACGATATCATGGGAGAAGACAAGCTGATATTGCTATGATGGGCGCACTGCACATGGAAGGCAAGATGCATGTGATGGCCGGCAAGCTGCTACATGACTCGGGGTGGACCACTATCCTTTCTCAAACAGAAGTCCTTTCATCCGGTTGTGCACAATCTGCGCTCAACGAGCATCACATCAATCGGACAAGGTACGCCCATCAAGTCTACCTCATTTCACTGTCGTTATTACTCAAGCAGTCAGCATATTCAGAGTATTGCGAAAGTGTACTGGGACCACCTGAGTCATTCGAAATGTGGAATCAACATTCCCTAGATTTACCCCAGTTCAAGTTCTGGTCAACCATTATCGAGTTGGAACTGCTGATGGCCCGCTTTGTCCGATCCCTTCGAGAGGGGGACTTCCTACTTTATGTGCAGGCATGTGATGAACTCTGTGCTTGGTTTCACGCAATGGACCATAAGAACTACGCACGTTGGCTCCCAGTATATGTATACGCGACATACTCGAGCTACCCGAGAATCACCCAGAGGTAAATGCTGTATTTATGAAGGGAAACTTTGTGGTACAAAAGTCTGCTAAAAGATTCAGCCTGATCGCCAAAGATCAAGCCCACGAACAGTCCAACAAAAGTCTACAGGCACATGGCGGAGCTGTTGAATTCTATGAGAATCCAGAGGCTCTTGCACTGTTCATATTGCCCAGGCCTGCTTTTGCGCGGATAGTTGAAGAGTTTGAAGCCGTCTACGACCCACCACCTTCATCCACTGCTCATTACGAGGAAGGGCACAACTTGCAAGTCAAGTTTTGAAAGGATGTACTATCGTTTGTCGACGTGGTAGTACACATGGGAAACCCTTTCATTGCCACATGTCAGGAGCTTGTTGCATTCGATACACAGAATGTCATGGAAAAGGTCGTTGTTACATCTCTATCTCAAATCCATGCAGTGGGCCAAGCCCTTCACGCAGCATATGTAACGGAAAGGCTGGAAAAGGCTTCAGTACCAATATCCGATACCATCAAGCGGAACAACATGTTCATCTTCCCCAATCGACCTGACCCCAAGACAAAAGGCAATGAGGACAATTGCACACAAAAGCAGAACATGACTTTGATAACGCAACTTTTCCTTTCACTTCAGTCGCGTCCCGATGCCGACATGATGGAATTCTTCCGCTTCGAAATCAAAGAGGACCACTGATCCTAGCTGATCAAGGGTCACTGCGAGCTGGGACAAAGTCTGACGTACTCGAATGCCTCACTGCGCCGACTGGCTGTGCATCTGCTGCAACACAAGCCACGTTCGTAGTGTCGGATATGGCGGCAGTGATACACATGGTGCGCCCCACAACGGCTGAGACATTTAATGAGTATGTGTCACTCAACATCATACCATTTTTGGAGTCCCAAATGAAGAATACTACCCAACGCATCAACGCTGTATGGGATAGTTAACCAGAGGAAAATAACCTTAAAGCCCGCACGCAACAACGACGCGGAAATGGCCCACAGACAAGAGTCGGCGATGGTAGCACTCCAATCACGAAGCGTGAATGGAATAGTGGCTTTCTCAAGTATGCGGGGAACAAAAAGGAGCTGTTCTCATTCATCAGCACACAGATCTCGAAGATTGACATGGACGGGAAGCTTCTGCTAAGTACACACTTCGAAACCGTGCTTGCCAATAGAGATTGTGACCTTACAACACTCCAGCCATGCAACCATTCCGAGGCAGACACGAGGATCCTCCTGCATCTGGCACATGCTGTACAGCAGGGTCATACAACAACCTATGTTCGCACGGTGGACAGCGACGTCGTAGTAATTGACAGTCAGGTTTTTCGATACGCTCGGCCTATCGGAGCTCTGGGTTGGTTTCTGAACCGGAAAAAGTACTGTGACATTCCAGTCCATGTCCGGCATTCCAACCTTGGTCCATCAAAGTCTCTCGCGCTACCCCTCTTCCAAAGCTTAACTGGGTGCGACACAACTTCGCAGTTCCTTGATTGTAGCAAGAAGACTGCCTGGGCAGCCTGTACCAGCTTATCGGACCTAACGGACACATTAGTGTCTCTCACGGAAGACCCTACACTCTTCAGTATCGATTTTGTGCACATGCAGCGGATTGAACGATTCGTTGTCCTTATATACAGCAAGGGCTGTGGTGTTGCCAGAGTGAACGAAGCGAGGCATCGTCTCTTCACCAATGGAAGCAGATCATTGGAAAACCTCCAACCTACCCAAGCGGCTCTATTCCAGCATGTGAAACGAGGATTATTGCAGGCCAGTTTCTACTGGGATAAGGCCACCTCCATCCAGCAAGAAATCCCCAATTTTTTGAGTCGGGCTGACATAAAGATGGAACCATTGGCTGACATAAAGATGCACCTTTATGGACCACACTCACAGATGCTTCAGTGGCATGCGCCATTCTATTGCACTCCATTGGCCACAAGGCATGCCAATTAAGGAAGGTTCAAATGCAAACGATCTCGTGTCGAATGCACAGCCCTCTGCAAATGTGAAGGCGGGTACCTTAATAACGAGGGCAGTGATGACCAGTAACACATATTGCGAACAAGATAGATTACAATCCAGAGCGTATACCTTAATGACATTAATGTTAAATAAACCAGGTTTCATTAATTTTTAAAACTTATTTAGCGACGCATCAGCAGACGAATATCCATTTTGACCTTTAAATTGTTAATAAAAATTGTTCCTCAATCTATCGTCAATTTTTAACAATACACGAGTGACTATGACCTGAAATTAAGGCTATATTCAGGTTAATTAATGAACATTGAAAAGCGATATAATTAGTCAAAATAGACATTAAATGTACTTATTTAAGATTTCATTTTCCCTGAACCGTTGCTATAGTATCCAAAATCAGATTGTAGAAATGTAGAGACCGGAACAAATTCCTGTTGAGCAATAAATAGATTACAAATAACACTGTAATATGACACTGTAATATTATCACTGTAATATTACAGTGTCAGTCTCTCGTCATACGAGACAAATTTGTAGTGAAATAAAGTTGAAGTAATTCAAGTTTGTCTTCTAATCTTATTAGCTCCACTACGGTATTGATAAATATATATATATATATATATATATATATATATATATATATATATATATATATATATATATATATATATATATATATATATATATATATATATATATATATATATATATATATATATATATATATATATATATATATATATAAAATAAGTGCAACGACTCAACAAATTCCACTAGGCATGCCTAGTGGAATTTGTTGAGTCGTTGCACTTATTTAATTATGCTCTGGATATCCATTGAGCACTCTGCCAAATGTTTTTGTAAACAACGAAACCTAATTCTATATATATACATATATATATATATATATATATATATATATATATATATATATATATATATATATATATATATATATATCGATGTAATGTAACCTAGCATCATTCCTGATGATGACTGCATGAATCTTAGTCGAAAGCTAGAGTATTATTAAAATGTTTATTTTCGGAGTTACCGTTGTTTTATATTTTATTAAAATACGTTCCCGTAATTTTTAACTAATTCTTCCGTATACTTTTAGTCATTATCAACATTGTAGCGATTTATGGGCCTTTGAAAGTCAAACACGATCATATTGTATCAAATTACGCAATTGTCTGAACAAAATATAGACTAGCCATACCTTTCGCCGAAAATAACTTCGGCCCCTTCGAACATATCGTCTTTGTAATAGTCTTGTTAGAATCCCCATTAAAAACACTATCTAAAGTGTTATTTGCAAGCCTGTATCTTCAAATCTGTAACTTTTATCAGTATATTTCCATTTCTTGTCCGACTGTGAGCTCGAAGTGAGTTAATCCCAACCGGAAATACGACTGAAAACCGTCAAAACAATGCGACGCTTGTATCGTATGACCCTGGAAAGGCCAGAAATGGATTCGCAAGGTCAAATTGCATCTACACGCGTGAGTTTGACGTCATCCCGGCCACAGGAGCTTCTTATTGGCCAATTATTGCGCAATGTACGCAATTGCGAGTAAAACCCGAACATTTTGAAAAATAGGTACGCAAAGCGTACATGTATCTGCGAAAAAAACTTGATTCACATTTTGTATTTCCTTGAAAAGAACTGAATAATGAAGATGACATGGGACAATTGAAATATTTCATCACTTATTATTATAATAAATATAATAGCAAATAAGACTTTAGCGGAGGGCAGCAAGGACAACTGCCCTCCCCCCCCCCCGGCCGATAAAATGTAACTAATTTTATATAAATGTGATTATGTTTGTAACATAATTATGCATGCAGTCAAGAAATAAAAATGTCATGCAAACAATATTTGAAGTGTCTATACAGCCAACAGCCGGCTATTTAGTAAACTGTCAGCTGTCACTTGTCAAACCATGAAGTTTCAAAACTTTATTGTAATCATATGATCAGCAAAAGTTCTGTCACTTGTTGTTTACACTTGCCAATGTTAGGGGTGCACTGGAACTCGGTTCCGGTCGGAACCCTGATTTGTGAGAGTTCCGGTTCCGGCCGGAACTAATAAAAAACCATGGCCGGAACCGGAACTTTGTCCTTTTCAGAGAGATAGAATATCAAGTTTATTTTGAATAGCATAGGACGAAATTTGGACTACACAAGATAAATGTACACTATTAGTACTTTATTATGACGTTTAAGTGAATCTTTTTATTCTAACATTTGCATGCTCTCTGAGGCTCTCTCCTTGTATCCTGATTAAACTGCGCTTTAAAACGTTCGATATAAAAATATGACTATCAAAATGAAGAGAGAGGTGAGACGAATCTACTGGTATGCGGCCGAAAAAGAGAAAACCAACGATACCAAAGTTATCAAGGATCAAACGTACTGCATTTTTTATAATTAGTTGAATAATTTTAACAATAGTCAATACCATTTCGCTTGGCTTTCAAAGACAAAGGCCACAATTTACATAAATCGCTAGAATACTGTTGTTTAGTAAAAATTTGACATCCATAAGTACAATTTCTTACGCTGAATCGAACAGTGGTATTTTTATCCGTATTGCGCCATTAGGCATTACAAATACAAAGACAAACGTATTGCGAGTGATTTGTCTGTCTGTCAGCCAGCAAATATCCTTTTACGTACTGTGAGCGATTTGTCAACAATACAATTTCGCTTGATTTTCAAAGGCCATAAATCGCTAGAACACTGTTGTTTAGTAATACATTTGACATCCGTAATGACAAATTCAATGTATACAGTACTTAATTTGCCAAGTATAAAGTACATTACTGTATTATAAAATCGTGATTTATGGAATACTTACCATGAACATGGTCTAATTTCAAAAGTGCCTTGTCCAGATCTATACTTCAGTAGGAATATGAGTAGGATTCAAATGTACAGTATAACCACAACCGATTGATTGTCAACCGTCATGCTTTGCATGCCAAAATCTGCTTCGAAACTGTTTCCCAGTTTCTGTTTTCAATCCATCACATATCTCAACCATCTTATGGCCATACTTGTTCATTTTATTAGTTATTTATATTGAAAACAAACCAAGGAAATATTTATCATTGTCATATTTGAATGGCTTCCCAAGTCCAAAAAGTCCAAATAATATCATTATCTAGCCTCCTCCGCAGGCATCTCTTAATTGTCGAGAACTTTTAAAAATAACTTATATAATTTAGTTATTCAAATAACTAATGTTCTGATTGGGTTACAGTGTGACCAATAGTGTGACCAGATTTTTTCAGCAGTCATTACCAAAATTTTGCTCAAAAATTTACTAAATTAAGAGAAAAATTTACCAAATGTCGGCTTGAACGGCTTCCCAAATAATTACGTCATAATAATGCAAAAAAAAACAATAGTTACGCCATCAAAGTAGAAAAAATATGCCCAAAAAGGTATCGAAATACTTGTTGCTTTCATCGTAGTGACGTAATATTTTCAGGTTAATTCCAGTATGAGTCGTGTTACATATAGGGGCAGGGGTGAACACTTTATGTCACATATAGGGGCAGGAGTATAAACCTTATCTTAAATTAAACCTTAACTTAAGGGGGGGGATGCCCCCTAATTATTCCCCCCCCCCATTTTGCCCCCCCCCCCAAAAAAAAATAAATTATTAGTCACTGGGAAATGGTATGACCCCCAGCTTTAGCCTCTTCAGCACTCTGCATGCGCTTAATGGGTTGATCAAAAAATCTGACAATGTCTCTAGTTAACCATTGCACCCCAGTACTTATTTTTGTAACCCATTGCACCCCAGTACTTGTTTAACGCCAGATGATTTTACTCGTCAACAGGAAACTCTGCAGCTAAATGGGTTAAATAGGTATACATATTAATTGTTGAAAGCACAAGTAAATGAAAGATCTGATGCCTTTTACAACAAGTTTAAAGAGCTCATTTCTATACAGTACTGTACATTTATATTGTCGGTGTGTGTGTGTGTGTGGGGGGGGTTACTATTTTTTAGAATTCATGTGAAGGGGGTCATTGAATTTTTTTGTGATGCAGGGGGTGGCGCAGGACATTTTGTTTAGTTGTTAATTGAATGTTGCCAGCCCACCCCCGGTCATAAATAATGAATGGTCCCTATAAATGCATACAAATCACTGTGAAAAATGTCGATACGCGAAATGCTGTTATTTTGTATTTTCGATCGGTTTATTTTCCTTTATATAAAATCAAATGCTAAAACAAGTCATTAATAATGATTATTTATGATTTAAAAGCAACCAAAGTGTATTTATTGTGATTTTTGCTGCTGTAAACTAACTTTATTTATAAAAAATAACAATTTAGTATTTAGGCATGTGCGAGCGACAATTATCCAATCAGAATCCAATATTTTCATTTTCCCGCGAATACGTTTGTTTAGATTACATCATTCATGATACATACTATGACATCATAAGTGAGACCCAGGTCATCGCGCGGAATTCAAGATGGCATCCAAGGATGGCATCGGGCAAATGTGCATTCCTCGATTCACAGGCGGCCCAATCTCGCAAGGGTCAGTATAGACTTATACTGTAGTATAAATGTATATTATATTAATGTATATAATAGTAAAAATATGTCGTGAAATATAAATTTTAAAATGAAATTGACTTGCCTTGGTGTATTTCTTCAAATCATTGTTTAGTTACATTGACGTCAATATCGATAACTATGTGTCGTTTGTGGGCCATGGTCGTACTAGACTGAGCCATATGTCAAGATATATCCTTCAAAGTAAACTCTGTAAAACTAATACTTTCCAGTCTTCATACTACAATCGTCTTGTAAAGATTTGGAACACAGTGTGCCAAGAAATCTCACCTGACATTTTCCGTAATCCAAACTCTTTTAAACACTATCTTAAACGTAGATATACTATACAATAATTAGTAATGTTTATGACGTAGACATGTCTT